CAATCCTGCCAAAGGAATGGCACACACCTGGGAGTTCTGGATCCTGATCGTCCCAGGTGACAACGCCTGTGTCACTACTTGGCCTTGAGGAGTGACGACTGTAACAGGCTGATAAACTGTGCCACCTCAGAAAGGAAGGAGAAAAGCATTACATTTAAGTCTCAATGACTTAAAACCAATCCTCTTATTATACTATGAAAGTAATAAAATCTCTAGTTTGATGAATTTTTTACATCATTTCAAATGATCAATACCTTGTTCGCAGACTTGACACTGTAAATAACCAAAACGAACTCACTGCATAAGCAGTGCCCACACGGCGCCATGCTGAGGGGCGGCCCTGCAGCCCTCACAGACGGCGCGGGGCATGGCTGGGTCGGGGGAGGGCACTCCCCTGCCTTTGGCTCGCTTCCAGTGTCTACTTTCTCCCACAATTAGCACAAATCAAAGGACTTGGCCAAAGATGGCAGATGACAAATATTTTTATTATGGTTCTCATTTTGATCAAATGTGCTTTATTTTCCTGTGGAGGTTTCCCTTTGTGCTATTACATGGGTTTTTTAGTGTAACTTTCTCCCCCTCCTTACATTTAATGACAGTCTTGTATTTGCAACATTTTAGATGCGCCAGAGACTTGAGAATCTGTCCCCTTCCTGTGATGTTTTAATTATACAAGTTACACCAAGACTAAGAATGCATTTTTATTTGCTTGTCATCAATTACTAACGCAACTTATGATTTTCCAGGTACTGCTAAAAGCACAATTAAAAACCGTTCATTTGAGAATTAAAATGGGTTTTTGCTATATAGTTTCAACTCCTATATAAAACCTTTCTTCCCAACATCTTTTGGTAGGGAAACACAATTTGCATAAAGTACCTGTCATTGAGAATTAACAAGAAACAGGCCTTCAAAGAAGTCTAGATTTTAGGACTTTTACTAGAGAACTGGTATTAATTAAAAATTATATTTATGCAAGTCTCCGTCCTACTATGAAGGACTTTTTCTGAAAAAGCGTAAGGAAAACGTGTCCTTTCTCCCATCCCATACCTGCCACTGTTGCCATGGTCACGTTCCCCTGCTGCAGCGCGGACGCGGGCACCACGATGCCCTGGGGACTGAGGGTGCCCGCGATGGCACTGTGAACCTGCTGTAAGCCAGAAATGTACAGGGGAGGCGTTATTAGAAAACAGAACTCCCATGTTTAGAACTTCCAAACAAGCAGCATAATGGCATCATCAATACAAGAGATGCTTAAGGCCAAGAGCACAGCCTTCCATGAAGTAGGCTCTACATACCTGGAAACCAGGACAGGTAAGTCTGACTATTAAATGTGACGATCAATACTAAGATATTAGTTTCAATTTGGCTTCCAAAAGATTATTTTTCATCTCATCACATTAACCCCACCTTACAGTCCTAGAGGTATGACTAGGGAGACCAAAATTACCTAATCTCATCACACACCTTTTCCATCATTGTTGGCCCAGACTCTTGATTTTCCAAGAACCAAAGCCTCCTTGAATGAATGGGCACTTTCAGAAGATTATGCCACAGGCTTGGGAGGCTGTGAGTGGTGACGGTGAGTCACCCCTGGGCCTGCACAGCTCCCTACCACCCGGACCTCAGCACAGTGCACATCTGAGCCCCGCCTCCCTGTGTGCCCACGTGTGTGGAGTACCCAGCCCAGGCCTGGCCCACAGCACACTCCATGGAAACATTTGTAAACACCAGATTGGAGATTCTAATCATCCGACATTAGATCCAAATGGGCAAATTTACCCACTGACTGATGGCTGGCTAGGTTGTTGGCAAGGGAAGGGATCCCTACACCTGGCATCTACCATGGAGTCTGGTACATGCAGGCACCCAAGTAGTTGAACAGTTAGGTAGCGTAAGTATCACCCAGAGGTGATTGCTCTGTGGGCCACCACATCAATGTGAATGTGTAAGCTTTGGTAGGTACACACAAAGTAGGCTACACTAACTTGGTCAGAATAAAGTTAGGACATCTAATCAATCCAAGCTCCCATATTAAGAACCTAGAAAAAGAGGAACAAAATAAAACCAATGCAAGCAAAAGGAAGGAAACAATAAAGGTCAAAGCAGATAACAATGAAATTGAAAACAGAAAAACAACAGAGAGAAAAGAGCAGGTTCTTTGCCTCTAGTAAAATGGACAGAAAAAAAGAGAGAAGACAAATTACCAATATTAGAAATGAAATGGTGATCACTGAAGACCTTGCAGATGTCAAAAGGAGAAAAAGGAGTACCATGAACTCGACACACAAATTGGACAGAGTAGACAAAGTCCAATATGAAATAGATATTTGAATAGTCCTATAACTATTAAGGAAAGTAAATTCATAATTTAAGAACCTCCAAAAAAAGAAACCTCCAGGTCCTGGTGTCACTGGAGAATTCTATCAAACATTTAGAGAAAAATTAATACCAATTCTAAGCCCTCCCAAAAAACAGAAGAGGAGAGAATACTCTCCAATTCATTTTCTGAAACTTGTACTATCCTAACACCAAATCAGACTAAAGACTGAATCAAAAAAGAACTATAGGCCAATATCCCTTGATATAGACACAAAAATGTTTAACAAAATATTAGCAAACAGAACAGAATTCAGGAATCCATATAAAAAGAATTCCATGCCATGACCAAGTGGTTTATTCCAGGAATGCAAGGCTTGCTCAATATTCAAAAACTCAAAATAATCTACCATATTAATAGACAAAAGAAGAAAAATCACATAATTATATCAATCCATGCATTAGACAAAATTCAACACAATAAAAACTCTCAGAAAAATAGGAATAGAGGGAAACTTCCTCCTCTTATGAAGAACTGCTAGGGAAAAAAAACTACCATTAAAATTAAGGCTGAACACTTTCCCCATAAGACTGGGAACAAGCAAAGGGTGCTCTCACCAATCCTATTCAAGATAGTACTAGATGTTCTAGCTAATGCAATAAGGCGAGAAAAGGAAATAAAAAGTATACAGATCACAAAGGAAGAAATAGAACTGTCTCTATTTGCAGATGATATGATTGGATAGGTAGAAAGTCCTAAGGACTCTACATAAAGGACCTCCTACAATTAATTAAGTGAGTTCAGCAAGGCCACAGGATACAAGATAAACATTAAAAAATCAACTGTAGCCTGGCCTGTGTGGCTCAGTGCTTGAGCGTCTACCCATGAACCTGGAGGTCACAATTCGATTCACAGTCAGGGCACATGCCGGGTTACGGGCTCGATCCCCAGTAGGAGGGATGCAGGAGGGAGCTGATCAATGACTCTCTATCATCACTGATGTTTCTCTCTCTTCCCCCCTTCCTCTCTCTGAAAGCAATAAAAACATATTTTAAAAAATTAACTATTTCCATAAACTAGCACAGACACTGAAGTTAAAACTGTAACACCACTTACAATTGCTCAAAAAAATGAAATATTCAGGTGAAAAAACACATATGCAGAACTCATATTTTGGAAACTATAAAACAATAATGAAAGAAACCATAGGAAGAGTAAATGAATGGGAGACACACCATGTATGTGAGCTGAAAGAGTTAACAGTAAAGATGTCAATTCTCCCCAAAACAATATACAGGTTAAATGCAATTCCTATAAAAATCTCAGTAATTTTTTTTTGGTACATATAGACAAGATTATTCTAAAATTTATATGAGAAAGAAAAGCAAACGAACTAGAAATAGCTCAGATATTTTGAGAAAGAATATTTTGAAAAAGAATAAAGTGAGAGGAATCAGTGTACCCAATTCTGAGATTTATTTTACAGCAACAGTAATCAAGACTATATGGTAGAGATACACAGGTCAGGGGAACAGAACAAAGGACACAGAAATAAACCCTATAAATATGCCCAACTGACTTTTGACAAAGGTACAAAGGCAACTCAGTGGAGGAAGGAGGCTTTTTGACATATGGTGCTGGACAACTGGACATCCAGAGGCAAACAGATGAACCTCAGCCAAAACCCTCTTGCTTTATACAAAAGTTAACTCCAAACTGATCATGGATTTAAATGTAAAATATAAAACTTTTAGGAAAAAAATAAGAGAAAATCTTCAGGATCTAGGGCTAGCAAAAGAGTTCTTAGACTTGACACCAAAATCACGACTCATAAAAGGAAAAGTTGATAAAAACAAATTATCAATATTAAAAAATGTTGAATAGCGAGTCCAGAAATAATCCTTGCTTATACTGTCAACCTACTACAAAGGAGACAGGGATACGATTGGGGTAAAGACAGTCTCTTCAGTGAGTGCTGGTGGAAAAACTGGACAGACAGATGCAAAAAAAGAAAATTGTACCACTTTCTTAGACCATCTACAAAAATAAACTCAAAATGGATTAAAGATTAAACGTAAGACTTGAAACCATAAAACTCCTAAAAGAAAACATAGGTAGTAAACTCTTTGACGTCGGTCTTACTAACATCTTTGTGGATATGTCTCCTCAAGCAAGAGAAACAAAGAGAAATAAGCAAATGGGACTACATCAAACTAAAACGTTTTTGCACAGTGAAGAAAATCATCAACAAAACAAAAAGACAACCTACTGACTGGGATAAGACGTTCACCAATGACCCATCTGACAAGGGGCTAATACCCAAAATATATGAGGAACTCATATGACGTAACACCATGAAAAACAACCCAATTAAAAAATAAGCAGAGGACCTGAATAGACATTTTCCTAAAGAGGACATATAGATGGACAGAAGACATATGAGAAAATGCTCAACAGCACTAATCATCAGGGAAATGCACATTAAAAGCACAATGAGGTATCCCCTCACACCTGTCAGAATGGCTCCATCGACAAATCACCAAACAAGTGCTGGCGAGAGTGTGGAGAACGGGGACCCTCCTGCACTGCTGGTGGGATTGCAAATTAGTGCAGCCACTGGGAAAACAGTATGGAGCTTCCTCAGAAAATTAAAAGTAGAACTGCCATACGACCCAGCAATTCACTTCTGGGTATTTATCCCAAGAAAACAAAAATGCTAATAGATATTGTCATCCCATGTTCACGGAAGCATTATTTACAACAGCCAAGAAGATATGGAAGCAGTAGATGAGTGATGATAAAGATGCAGTACGTATATACAATGTGGTACACATTCAGCTCTAAAAAGAATGAAATCTTGCCATTTGAGGCAACATGGATGGACCTAGAGGGTATTATGCAAAGTAAAATAAGACAGAGAAAGAAAAATACCATATAATTTCACTCATATGCAGAACCTAAAAGGACAAAACAAATAAATACACACAAAAAAAGAAGCAGACCCACAGATATATAGAACAAGCTAACAGTTGCCAAAAGGGAGGCAGGGTGGGTGGATAGGAAATAAAAATTTAAGGTAAATAAATAAAACAAAATAAAGGCTAGGGGAAAATGCTTGCTCTGTAAAAGACCCTGTTTAAGAGTGAGAAAAATAAGCTACAGACTTGGAAAAAATATTTGCAAATCGTATATCCAATAAAAAGACTAGTATCTAGAATACTCTCAAAAGTCAACAGTTTTTGAAAAATCCAATTAGAAATTGGGCAAAAGATGTGAGAAGACATTCTACCAAAGAGGACACACAGATGGAAAACAAGCACATGAAAAGATGGTCAAGGTCATTAGCCACCAGGGAGACGCAAATTACAACCACAATGAATGTTGCTACAACCTATCAGAGTGGCTACAATATAATAGGCTCCAAATACGGAGGAAACTTGAGGACATTAAGCTGAGTGAAATAAGCCAAATACAAAAGGACAAATGATTCCCCTTAAATAAGGTCCCTAGAGGAGTCAAATTCATAAAGACAGGAAGTAGAAGGGTAGGTGCCAGGGGCTGGGGGGGGGTTAGTGTTTAACAGGAAGTTTCAGTTTGGGGAGATGGAAGTTCTGGAGACGGGTGGTGGTGATGGTCCCACAACAGTGTGAATGTGCTTAACGCCACTGAACTGTACACTTACACGTGGTTAGGATACTAAGTTTTATGACATGTGTATATTACCACAGTTTTTTAAAATGTATTTTTAAAAAGAAAAAAAGGAAGAAATGGGTGAAACTCCAGAAACACGGGACCCAGGGTCCAGTACACAGATCAGGGCCTCACTGTGTTCACTGCATGAAGGCGGACGAGTGGTGTCTGGAATTCACTCTCAGGCCAGGGTCTGAGGACTAAAGGACCCTGAGAGCAGCACAGCCACTCAGACAGCCTCACGACTGCGGGGGGGCTGGCGGTCTCAGGATCAATATCATTCATCCTTGCAGATGTGACGGCAACCAGGAAGCAGAGCAGGACCCGAACGTAAGTACCTGGGACTGGACAGGGGAATACGGGCTTCCAGGTTCTCCACTCAGGAGAGTTTCACTGTTCATTTTCGTTTTTAGACAAGCAATATATCGACTGCAGAAATCTTTGCAGAGTTCATTAACCTTTTCCAGCTCAAGAAGATGAATACGCAAAACCTGGATTGCTTTTACCATCTAGAAGCAGAGAAAATGAAGACTTTCAGACAAGGAAAAGGCAGCATGATGTTAAGTTACAATCATCGCCACACAACTACCCTCAGTCACTAGCCTGAACCCCGCACAGCCGTCGCTATCTGGACTGCCAGGGACACAAGTGGAATAACATCGCATATCGTGCAAAATGACACATCACTCCAGCACCCCGGCCCACAGTCTGGCATTCCAGCTCCCTCTGTGCAGGGAGGACGGGCGATGCCAGCGCTGACCTCAGTGCACAGTGCAGGGCCAGCGGGCCCCAGCCTGATGTGCAAGGTACCAGCCCTCGCTGCTCCTGTCGCTTCATCTATAATCCAGGGTGGATCCAGACCCACCTCACAGGTGGTTCTTAACTTTGATAAACGTCAGCGTATCAACTCTGCCTTTAATGGGTCGTGCTTTTGGTGTCAAGTCTAAGACCTCTTTGCCTAGCCCTAGATTAGCCCTAGACCCTAAAATTTTCTCTCATGATTTTTCTAAGTTTTATGGTTTTATATTAATTCACTAAGTTTAGGGGTAATCTGTCTCACAGCAGGAGGTAACTGACACTGATAATGAAACCATCACCATAAGCAGCACCTCTTATGAATCCACAACCCAAAGCCCAGCTCCTCCTGCGACTTCGGTGTAGTAATTCGTAGCACTCATGGAATGAACCAACCAGTCAGCCAGTCAGTAATGAGAAATACCAAGCATCCAGCTCTGGGAGGCCCTGTGCTCTAACACCAGTCAGGAGAGCCTTGGCCCCCGCCAGCCTAGGATGGCTGTGGCCACCTCTGCTCCTCACTCGCTGACAGCTGTGTGACAGATTCAGAGGCAGAGAGCTTCTGGTCCTAGGCACTATCAGTCCCATTTCAAAGATGAGAAGTCAGACTCAAAGTAAGACAGCTCACCTATAAAATCTACTGGGCTATAAGGGTTGACTATGTAATGAGAAATTTAAAAAACAACAATAACAATTAAGATCTTGGCAATTTATTCAGGAAAAAGATTTCCAAGGACCCTTTTCTGCTGACCAGGGCCTGACGAAGGCTTTGGTCTGGGAGCTCAGAGGCTTTAACAGAAATCCAGGGAGGGCCCAGACCCAGCGGGCAGTGCTCCACAGTACTGAAAGGCTCTGCTCCCCTTGGGTGCGGCAGTGACGTTAACTCCAAAGAATTCTCCATTTCCTTCAGAAAGCAGAGACCTGAATTTCAGAGCACTGGACCTGGGAGGAGGGCACTTATGTGAGACAGACTGGCTTCAGAAAAAAAACACAAGGAAGGTCGTGTGGGGCCTTGGAGCCCTTTGCTAAGCCTGTCCCCATTCTGTGCTGGTGGGCCTCCCCAAGTCTTGGTAAACTTTGTCGCCCACCACAAATCAGTGTGAGCCTCAAGACAGAGCTGTCCTGGAGAACACAGTCGTGTGTCCGTGGTCAAGGACAAGTCAAGGACTGAAGCTGGGCACACACCTGCTGCCCGAGGAGCACAGCAGTGAGCACGCTGACCCCAACGAACCTTTCAAATGTTAGGAGAGAACTGAATCCCCGGTGCACTTAGGATGCAGGTAGAAACCAGCTTGTTTGATTACCACAGGAAAGGGTAACTAGAGGAGGCTGGGAGACATTCAAGTCTCCCTCTCTCTCTCTCTCTCTCTCTCTCTCTCTCACACACACACACACACTAAAATAAGTTATCTCATGAATTGTACGATTCTCCCCTTTAGCAGAACTATAAACAGTTTAAAGTTCTAACTGGAAGTTTGAAATTTATTGAACATATTTTTAAATTTGGAAGAAGTAAAAAGAAAACACTTATTTTACTCACTAAATTGTCAGTTTCCGGGTCTTCACAAAAGAAGGGTTTTCCCTCCTTCTCTTGCTTCCTCACAAAATTTTCAATGTCCACGTCAAAACTCGCAGAAGTTGTACCTTCTGAGCCCTGCGTGGATTGCTCGCATTTTTCGAACAACAAAGCTAATAATGGAAACAGTGGATGCCTAGGGGGAAAAGAAAAAAAGGAGGCTCTCCATTTGCATGGGCATGTCTGGTACCTACGTACATATGCATTGTCTGACACATCAGCTCTGCTGAGATCTAATTCACAGCACACCACTTATTCGCTCAAAGTGTACAAGTCAGTGGTTCTCAGTGCATTCACAGAGCTGTGCAGCCATCACCACAATCCACTTTAGAACATTTCTACCACCCCAAAGAAACCCTGTGGCCACTGGCAGTCACTCTCCATTTCACCCCCAAGCCCCTGCCCCAGGCGCCACTAATCTGCTTTCTGTCTCTATAGATTTGCCAATTCTAGCCATTTCATATAATACATGACCTTCTGTGTCTGGTGTCTTTCACTTAGTATGTTTTCAAGACTTACTGATGCTGTAACAGGTATCAGTACCTCATTCCTCTTTATGGCCAAATAATATTCCATTGTATGAATATACCAATTTTACAGTTTTAAAATTTACATTTAGTTCTATAGCTCATTTTGAGTAAATTTTTAAAATATATATATATTATTGATTTCAGAGAGAGGAAGGGAGATGGAGAGAGAGAGAAAAATCAATGATGAGAGTCATTGATCAGCTGCTTCCTGAACGCCCTCCACTGGGGATCGAGCCTACAACCCGGGCATGTGCTCTGCCTGGGAACTGAACCCTGATCTCCTGGATCCTAGGTCGATGCTCAACCGCTGAGCCATGCCAGCCGGGCTTGAGTAAATTTCTGTATAAAATGTGAGAGTAGATCAAGGATCTTTTTTCTGCATATGGATGACAAACTGTTCTAACACCATTTGTTGGAAAGTCTACCTTTTCATCACTGAATTGTTTTTGTATCTTGGCTAACGATCACATCACATTTGTGTAGATTTATTTCTGGACTCTATCTGTGGCAATGATCTATGTGTCTATCCCTTCACAAATATCACAATGTCTTAACTACTGTAACATGACAGCAAATCTTAGAACAAACAGACTGATTCCTCCTCTATTCTTGTTTTTCAAAATTGGTTTAGTTAATCTAGTTCTTTTAACTTACATATAAAATTCAGAATTAACTTGTCTATATGAACAAAAATATCCTGCTAAAACTTAATTGGAATTGCATTAAGTCTATAGACCGATTTTAGGAGAACAGACATCTGTATTATGTTGAGTCTTCCAATCCATGCACACAGTATGTCCTGCCATTTGTTAGGTTGTCTTTGATTGCTTAATTAGCATTTTATAGGTATAGATTTATACCTGTTTTTTTGGAGCTCTTATAAATGTACACTGGTACCTTGGTTTTCGAACGTTTCCATTGACGAACACTTTGGTTCACGAATGCCGTAAACCCAGAAGCAAATGCTTCGGTTTTTGAACATGCCTTGGAAGTTGAACATGCCACACGGCTTCCGCCGAGTGCAAGATCCTGAGGCCTAGCTGTCGGCTGTGGATCCCTCGGTTTTCGAACGTTTCAGAGCTCAGATGGTCCCGAACGGATTACTTTCGAAAACCGAGGAACCACTGTACTGTCTTTTTGTTTCCAGTTATATGTTACTAGTACAGAAATAGGATTGGTTTCTGTGTGTTGTACATGTAACCTGTGACCTTATTAAGTTCACTATGTATCTGGAAGTTTTTTGGTAGATGCTGGGATTTTCTATGCAGACAAGCATGTTGTTTGTGCATTGAGCTAGTTCTATTTTCTCTCCTCTCTAATCTTTTTCTCGCCTAACTGCACTGGCCAGGGCTTCCAGTACAGTGCTGAATAAGAGGAGTTACGGTGGCCGTTTCCGCCTCATTCCCAACCTTAGGGGGAAGCACTCAGTCTTTCACCATCGAGTCTGACGTGAGCTGTAGGTTTTTGTGGTTGCCCTTCATCAGGTTAAGAAAGTTCCCCTTTGCTGACAAGTTTTAATGATAATTAGCTGCTGATTCTGTCAAATGCTTTCCTGTACCACTTGATATGATCACACAGTGGATCTCACTGGTTGATCATTGAATGGTGAACCAGTCTTGCGTTCCTGGGATAAAATCCACTTGGTCACTATATATTATAATATTATTGTTATTTTTTTGTGGCTGGATTCAATTTGCTAGTATTTTATTATTTTTATATCCAAATTCATGAGGGATACTTGTCTATATATTTTTTTCTTTGGATTCAGAGTGACGCTCAAGCTGTAACTGAATTGGACAGCATTCCCTCATCTCCTATTTTCTGGAAGAGACTGTGTAGATGTGCTGCTTTTTTTCCTTAAAGGTTGACAGAACTTTCCCATAAAATCATCTGGGCCTGAAGATTATTTTTGCAAGGTAGACTAAAATGTAGATTTACATTCCAAAACTTTTTTAAAAAAGATATTAGAGCACGGCTGGTGCTGGCTCAGTGGTTGAGTTTTGACCTACAGAAGAGGTGGTCACAGTTTGATTCCCAGTCAGGGTACATGCGCAGGCTGCAGGCTCATCCCTGGTGGGGGGAGTGCAGGAGGCAGTCGATTGATGATTCTCTCTCATCACTGATGTATCTCTCTCTCTCTCCCTCTCTCTGAAATTAATAAGNATTGATGATTCTCTCTCATCACTGATGTATCTCTCTCTCTCTCCCTCTCTGAAATTAATAAANCTCATCACTGATGTATCTCTCTCTCTCTCCCTCTCTCTGAAATTAATAAGATATGTGTGTGTGTATATGTGTATATAGATAGATAGATATTAGAAATAACATCTTAGCCAGGAAATCTTCACTCCGGTAGTTACCACATCACACCCTACCCTTCCTAGCTAATAGCTCTCGAATGCTCCTTTTAACGAGGTTTTCTACTCTCATTATTCCTCTGAAAACCCACATGCTTCACATCTCGTCGCTACCTATAAATGGCCTGTTTGTCTGCATCCATCGGTGTCTGGGACCCCACAGGGGGAGGGCTCACTCCTTCCACATCGGGTTCAGAGCAGTTGGGATCTTGCTCCGTTTTTAACTCTGTTACCACTTGCATCTGTGAAAGGAGGAGGAGAATTTTTGTTACTAAACAGGAAACAAACTGCTCCTAAGTGTTCTATTCTCAAGCAGGAACCCGACGGAATGCGCGATGGGAATGCTGAACTGCCAGCTATGTGACTGGCAGCAATGCAAACGGACACCACCCACAAACTCCTTTTTAATTTAATGTTTATAAAATGGTCAAAGATCAAATTCCCAAACCATTTAAAAATGAGGACTGATATCTGTGAAATGCTTAGGATTTTCAAAATCATAATAACCACACATTACTGAAGGCTACTTACTGGTCCACGTGCAATCTTACTGTCTGTCTGTGCCTGCAGCAAAGCCTCATGCTGGGTAGTGTTACAGCGACAGAGCAACACACAAATCGTCCAAGCTCTTCTCATCTTGTCACAAAAACTACTCATACCCGATACGTTGCATATCTTTGACAGGCCTGAAATTGTCCCCTATCTAAGCTTAAACTCCAGGAATACATAAACTATACAATTTTTTTAAAAAGTAACTGTATTCAGAAAATAAAAGGCAGCTGTGTTTACAGATATAGTATTAAATATAAGAGGAAGTCTTCAAGATATTATCATTTAAATTGCTTTAACCTAGCGATGTTGTTTCTAAGTTAGGTAAAAAGTATTTAAATCCCTAAACATAAAGAATTTAGTTTACACCCACAAAATTGCCGCAGTGAACTTGTAATTACCCATGAGCAGATTACCTCCCACACCTGCCCAACCCAGATGCCATGCCTCTGCCCCTCAAGGAAGCAGCATGTTAGGTGAACTGGGGTGGGGGACTCATCCCCAGGAGACACGAGAGCCGCCTCATGGACCCTACCCTGACACCCAGGGGCTGGGGCCGAGGGAGCAGTCCTCAGACCTGGGCTCTCCAGCAGTTCAGAGGGGCAAAGAACACTTCCATTCTGCTACCTTTAAGTGGTACAGTGTACCTGAGAAATTTTTCTCTCTTAAAACAAAAGACTAAAGAAATGAACTAAAGCCCACGTAAACAGTCTTTCTGGAGGGAAATCTGACAGTATTATAAAAAAGCCTTAAGAGGATTTATTTCAGGGTTATTTTTTTAATGACTGTGAAAAAAGGGAAACCTGAATGTTCAACCTTGGAGGAATGGCTAAGTAAATTTGGTATATGTCTACTGAATAATATTAAGTGCTTAAGTTCTCGCTCAGTTGGTTAGAGTGTCATCCTGATATGCCAAGGTTTTGGGTTCAATTTCCAGTCAGGGCACATAAAAGCAGCAACCAATGAATGCATAAATAAATAGAACAAATCGATGTTTCTCTCTCCTTCCCCCTTTCTCTCTGTCTCTAAAAGTAATAATAATAATGCTCTCAAAGAATTTTCCATGTTGTGAGGAAGTGACTGGCTATTAAAATCAAGGGATTCCCTACCCCCCGCCCCACCGCTGTGCCCGGCACTGCACTGGATACTCGCTGCATCAGGGCACAGACAGGGAGGCAGACAGAAGACAGATGGGTAAGCACAGAAGACCATCACTTAACAGAATACGTCAGAAGATGATCATTGTTAGGAAGGAGAAAAAGATCAGAGAAAGCTGTAGTGGTAACTGGGGCGGGCAGAGGAGTCTTCGCAGAAAGGGGTGATTTGGGCAAAGACCTGCAGGACAGGAAGGAGCTGGCCAAGTTGTTGCCCAAGGGAGAAAAAGTGAAGGGAAGAGTCAGGGTCACAGGGCAGAGAGGTGCCCAGGAGTGGGGCAGGCAGAGGAGAGTG